TATCTTAAAAAGGGGTTCCTCACGGAATTCAGCTTTAGCCATTTTAGTCCCGACACTGTATATTAATGTCAAAAGGATAATAATACTAATATTCTGAAACCGCGATCTTTTGAAACTGAATTAAAAGAACGAAACAGAAAGTACCGCATTTAAAAAATGAAAGAAATATACTGAACCAATCGACTGGAAGGTTCTGAATCCCTATCTGCTCATCCGCCATTCAAATCGCCTTATAGTAATAGCGTTGAATGATTAAAAGAGCATAATATATAGCCTTCTACAAAGCCTGTACTGATTATATTCTATAAGGCTTATACAGAAGGAAATATAAAGCCTGAAGTGTATCTGCATGAGTATCACGTCCCATGTCAAAACTAATCCTCATACATATATTCATGTAAAATTTCAGAACATCTAATAATCACAGGATAATGATGCACACGGAGCAGAGTCAAGGTCGGAAAGTCTCTGACCTTTGATCTAGACAACCGCGCGTTGCAAAAGATCCAAGAAAGACACGCGTTCACCAGGACACACCCACGGAATGTCTCGGCACTTTCTACTCTCCAATTCAGGATGTTTAAGTGTTTATAAATCTTTGGTCGCCAGTCGAACGCTTTGCTGAGATGCCGAAAGGGTGGGATTCGTACTTTGGACGTTGTTCCATATACAAGTACATAAATCATCATGTAGGTGTCTGATAATTATGATGAAGAAAGCTTTAACGCCTTGGAGTAGAGGAAGGTAGGTAGCTATAACACAGTCCCACAAAAAGAGGAAAGTGGTATGTTCCAAAGATTAGACCCTTGTGTCGCGCTGAATCTGAATCCGGGGTAGAATTACTCCATCACTCTCCATTATACAGAAAATATGGAAAGTGATATATAAGAAGTGGATCTTATTTGTGGAAGGGCGAAATGGGCGGTGACTATTAGACGCTTTCATTATAGCCATCTTTCTCTATCGCACGGATTTCTATGACTTTCTTTATCGCTCTCACGTAACGGCCGATGAACCATGGGGACTTTCCGACCCTGTATATAAAATTTTATACTTATTATTTTATTTAAATTCATTCAAGTTAAATTCAAACAATTTTCACATCTTTTCCATGTATAATGGAAATTTGTTATTTCAATAAAGTATACATGTGTAAAAGTTATGGTTTAAGACAAAGGCTCTTACGTCTACGACACTGTTACCAAATTTTATGAAAAATTTTTAAAATTATTGAAATAGGTACATATCTTTTCAAAAAATTTGAAGGGGCCAGTGCGCATTGTTTTGCTTATTTTTACCGAGGAGCAATTAATTTGAAGTCTAAATTCTAAAATGTAGAACATACCACAGCAATTATAATAAAAATGAGTTGAAACACATAGTGTTATTGTATTATGCCATCTAGTTTATCTTTTGAGTTGATTGAAATCTAAAGAGAAAGAGTGTTTAATAATACACACACATAGGTATATTAATTTTCTATTTCAACAAAGAGAAAATAGAGTAGCCAGATCTGATTTTGCAATATTCTAAAACTGAAGGAATGCAAAGGAAAAATTACTCAGGAAAGTCAGTGCAGTAGTATTCTTAAGAAAGGTACAAAAAACAAAAATTAGCTCAGTAAATTATTATGTTTTCTCAAATTGGATTATTTATGAATACTCGTTGATGTTATTACGAACGATATGATTAAATCGTTTTATATTCATTTTATATTTATCTTATTAACTGATTTGTTTCATATATTTAGATAATTCTTAATTAAAACTGTTACTTTTTAAAGGTACCAGGATTTTTAATCAGAATTTGTAATCGTTTATACCCTGCTTTATTTAAAACAATAATGTATAATCAGAAATTAAAAAAGTAATGAACTTTTTCTTCTACACACACACACATTACTATGGTGCTTTTATTTAAAGCTACTAACCGCTCGCATCTTATTATATAAATTAAAATTGATAGGTAGAGGTACAAAAAAATAAATATAATGCTAATAGAACTCAGGAAAGATAGTATAGAATATAAATACATTTGAAAGGTGTGGTTAGAATACTTCGACAACATAAAAGTTTGCTTTTGGGCTTCCCCTAAATCAAGAAGGTGGGTATTATTAATTACAATTAAAGTTTTTGTTTATAGCTACCTATGACTAACACAATATGTCTGAAAAGCATTATGAGGATAAGGTAATAAAAATGAAAATTAAAAGTTGCAACGTTGTCCTAAGTAGAAAAAATAAAAATTTATTTAAAATATTTTGACCTTTTCTATACTTACATAACGATGAGGTAAACGCCGTATCAGTAATGCTAATTACTTAAATAGCAAGCAATTATTGGAAATGGTAATATAACTTTTAAGAGAATCTCACCACAAACTGAAAACATACCTTTAAGGAACTGGGAAAGTGCATTTTACTTTTATTATTACAATATTAATTTCTCTTGCATATCGCAAACATTTTCTAGGTCAATAATAAACCAATTAACGTGTAATTGATGTAAGGTTTGAACTACATAACGTACACTTTCTAAATTGCTGACATCCCCTAAAATGCACCAAGTTCACGACCATCGTTAAATATCCAGTAATTTTTTGCTTTCAAGTGAATTTTAAATATTTAATATCACTGAAAATTTGATAACAAAGAGAAACTCTGTTTCTCTAGCAGTGTCACAAAGGTAGTTTTATAAATTTCTAAAAAGAAATTGTTGATTTTCTTTGAATCACCTCGTGTTAGAATAAACGTAATAGTCTCATGTCTGGTGGAAATATAAAGATTTTACAAAAAATCCTTTATTTACGTTCGTATATTTGCAAAAACTGTATTTTAGTCTAATAATATTCACCGTGTGCACATATTTTTAGGTCAAAACCAATTAATTAGAATACGGTTTATGAGAAACATTTTTTAATAAAAAAAAATTATAATAAATAATTTGTCTGCTTTCATATTTTTTATAACACTAGAAGATATTTTGAGTTGCCAATATATATTCTACGTGGTACCACAAAATTATGTGAAATTGGGTATCTCATATCGTATTAACCACCTTAATCAAATATTTAAATAAGAAAAAGAGTCCTTAGCGCTTAATAATGTCTGTGGTTCAGTGGATACCTGCAAGATGTCAGCGTCCTCAAATTAATTTAAAATGCAAATGCAACAATTCATACAACTACTGATAAAAATGAATGTTACTCACCTACAAACGGTTTACCGTTTATATAAATAAATTTTGCCTTAAGTGCCGGAATTGTTGAATTCGATACAAACTTAGCTTATTACTAGCCTACAAAAGTATTTGAAGTACATACTCACGATTGAAATGAGCGCATTTGATATGATCTAGAGAGAAAAAATGCACTGCATATAGTATAGGTACTTATATTAAACTTGATAGCTTTGGTTTCCAATACCGTTTTGTCTTTTCAAAATTTTGTTCGTTTGCAGACAAGAATTTTAGAAGCGGGTAGCTTCCTCAAAAAGTACTTGAAGTCTGCCTCAAGGCATTAACCTTTTTGCAATTGACAATATATTAGCATTAGAATGGAGCAAAAAATCTGAAGGTGTAATTTATACTTAAGAAAAGTGATGTTGCTGTTTTCATATCCAAAAAATAATGGTTTGTAGGTGTTATATCTGACAGATATAATGGTTGAGTAAGAGCAACGTTGTTGTAAGTTTTTTGTTCAAGATCTTACGGAACGTCATTGAAATAACTCCCTCTTCTGATACATTTAGAAAATGTTGGATATAAATAATATTACAAAATTACTAACTTGTAACACTATCTACAATTGACCTGGTCTATTGTATTAAATTTATGGGATGAGAACAATTGGTTTAAAAATCCAAGGAGTTGCGACATAGCCCAGCCTAATTGACCAAAGGGAGTTAGGACTATTATTCAGATAAGTGAAGTCAAACAAGACAATATTACTACAAAAAGTACCCACAGTCAGAATATGTAAAAATGTACGATTTAATCTTATTGCATTATTTATTTTGTAATAAGTTAAGGAGTACATTTACATAATTTTTTATGAAAAATTATTCTTGAAAATCGTTATGAGCTTTGGTTTAATTTAGAATAAAGAACAAACCTTTTGGTGTTTTTTTAAAGACTGTCAGTAGATACACCTGTGGGGGTTATAAACTCATATTATGAGAATGTTTCTGTTGCTAAGTTACAAAAAAAATAATAAATAACAGTTTTTATAGATACATATTTGAAACAGTTTGAATATTATTTATACGTGGTTTGAACAAAAAAAACGAGAATTTTCAAATTGCGCGTGCTGTATCTTGTCTATCGATTTGAAACCTTTTTTGTATATTGGTAACACCGTCAGTGACGTACCTGTCAATTTTTAGACAGTTACCACACTTAGTTTGAGTATAGCCATCACTAAGATTTATTTAAGTGTTTTTAGTGATTTTTTGTGAGCGAAATGTCAGTTCAGAGAGTTTGTCTGAAATTTTGAGTTAAAAACGGCGATACTATGTAACAACCACAAAAAGTTTATCAATGATACAAACATTTTCAGGAAGTCCGAGACGACATCGAAGATGATACGAGGTTTGGGCGTCCTAGCACATCTACCAATGATCAAAATGTTGAAAACGTTAAAGATATTGTGCTTGCTAATAGAAAAATCACCATCGGAGTGGCTGCTAAAGAAATAGAAATTTCATATGGCTCGTGCCAAGTAACTTTTACGAATGTTTTTGAACCTGAAACCAGCATTTGTTCCGAAAATGTCGAATTTTCAACAAGAACAGAACAGCACCGCATAACTATCGCTGAAGAAATGCTTACTGACGTCACAGATGATCCAGACATGCTCATACGCGTTGTAACTGGTGACGAAACGTGGATAGTGGATATATGGTTATGACGTCGAAACGAATACTCGTCCAAGTGGAAGTTGTTTGAAGATTTAAGACCGAAAAAAGTACTTACGTCAAATCTGGTCCGGACGTACAGTTAACAATGAATACTACCTATATACAAGTTTTGCGCAATTTGCGTAAGGCTATCAGGAGAAAACGACCCAAATTCTGGAGAAGCCACTCGTGGATTTTGCACCAGGACAACGTACCGACACATACCGCTTTACTTATCCAACAGTTCTTGGCGAAATACAACACCGTTGTGATGCCACGACTTTTCCTATTTCCTAAACTCAAAAGGATACTCAAAGGAGAACGTTTTTCAACAATAGATGAGATAAAGGCAAAATCTAATACCGAGCTTAAGAGGATACATAAAGAGGTGTTCCCCCCAATGTTTCTCAAACTGGAAACTATGTTGGCATAAGTGTATAATATCACAGGGAGCCTTTGAAGGGGATGAAATGAAAACTGAAGATTCAATAAATACCTTCTCAAAAAATTAACAATTCTCGTTACTTTTCCATCAAACCTCGTATATTCAGTCTAAAACTTTTGCCAAAGCATCTACAGGTGTTAAATACTGGTGCACTAAAATTAAAATATTAATTAATCCATGAAAAAGAGAATTAAATTTCACCTACGTGTCAATGTAGACATTAATATTATTTAATTGCCATTTTTTGATTAAAATAAAGAGAGGGGAAAGTTACGTTATATATAATTTCCCATTCATTCCATATAATTCACTTAATCAAATACTTACGAAGTATATATGATATTTTATTTATGAGATGTTCTCGTGGAATTAATCATTATCTATATTTATAACAAATAAGGATGTTACACTTATTAAAATTCTATTTATGCACAATTAAAAATAGTCTACCAAAAAGTATCTTGTAAGTAATTTAGGAAAAATAAATTTATGTGTAATGTGACTTACTCGGAGTTCCAAAGTGTGTCATTAATTTACTGTTACGTAATTAAGCAAAAACTAGTTTCATATTTTTTTCGCAGTTAGCTTTTAACATTATTTGTAAATCAAGTGGAGTAAGATGTGACTGATACTCAGACTAGGACCACTTCATCTGTGTTTTTTTTTTTGGTTCTGAGTGGTTCCAGACAAACAGTTAATCAAATATATGCAATTGTTTGACTTGGCTAGAGATAAAACCGGAGATAACAGTAAAAATATTCGGCATTAACCTACTAGCGTATCCGATCATCTGCACAGGTATCTACTGACCAAAGGTACCGGTATTATTGGTGCCTGGAGAACGGCCACAAGAACAGAAAAACCCGACAGCCTGACCTGGCTAACAAGAGCACGGCAACGGCCTAACTCTTCATTAACAGAACCCGTCTGCGGTGGTAAAAGACACGAACCCAAAAGAATCCTTTGGCACCGTGTGGATTTTTTAACGGATGGCGGAGCACAAAGATGTGCTGGACCTACTACGTGTAATGTTTCCAATAAAAAAAATAAACTATTCCTCTACGGTCTTACCCGAGTTTTATTGGATTCCGTTCTAAATAATCCTTATCATAGCTTTGGGAGAATCGTAACACTTCACCCGCGCACTGTGGCACTATACTTATCACTTGATTTTAAATTGCGGGTCACTGTCGCTCGCACTGAACAAGCACAAAGTGGTCAAGTGCTGTTACCTTTAATTACCTGCGTTTCGAGCGACGCTGGCGCCGCCAGCGGGCAGGTGAGGTACTACGTTGGTGACGTGTGTTGGGGGTTGCCTAAGCTCGTGGATGGTGAAGTCCTTATTATCCTTATTTATGAATTACTGAATTCTTTTTTAAGGGGAGAGAGCTCGACACATTGCATATTCAGTGATCAAGTATAAAAATCTGCAATAATTTTCATTCGTATTTCTTAAGTCAGCGTTTCGAATGGTAAATAGAGCTACTTTTATAACGATGAACATGCACCAAAACGATATATTTAAGTAAATCTGGTAGTTTTCTTGATTGGATTAATTTTTTCTAATTTACTCTTGTATAGTATACAGGGTGTCTCTTAAATAAGTGAGTTTCTTCAAAGGAATAATAGCAGAGAATGTGAAAATAAACAATTTTCATTCAGTAATCCAATACCTACGTATGGAATAAAACGTCCTATTCATGGGCGTAGCTAGGAATTTTCCTAGGAGGGGGACCGAGAGTCAGTTTATTGAAAAACGAGTATGGTATGTGAAATCATGGTTTCAGAAAAACAGTGGTCTAAATTGATTCAATATGACTGTTTTACGTCCAGTATTGATAATTTTTGAAACTTGCAGCATGCAGCAAGAATTAGTGGGGATATAGTACGGATATAATTTGAGATAAATTGTAGTATCTTCTATTCAATTGCATTTTAAAATGTCTATTTTAGTACTAGAAGGGTTCTGTAGTAATCAGTAATGGATTTATAGACAAAATTTGGTATGAAAAAAGAAAACAAAAAAAGACAGGAAAAAGATACATATTCGTTGGCAGTAGCAAGAGAGTCGAGAAAATTAAATAGGTGATTGGTGGAAATTGTAATTATTTACATTGTTAACAAAAATAACGAATTTTCACGAATTTTGCTATAGAAGACTGGTATTTGTGATATCTGGGATTTAAGATTTCCTTTGGCATAATAGAATGGGTAAAACATCTCACTAGTCCAGACGGTATCTGTTTCAAAAAGCCATATTTGGGTGAATCGTATATCCACGGAGATTTTTGGCTTTCAAATATCACTAGAAATTAAAATTTTTCTATGCGCATAAAAAAAACGTGGGTTTAACTTTTGGCAGCACAATATGTTAAAAAAATTCGAAAAATGTCATATTTTTCTTCCTATTTCATTATGTATCTTTTCTAGAGTTGATTTTAGGCGAAAATGGAAGAGGAAAAAAATGTTTGTAATTAAATTTACAAAACATGATTAGTTACAAATCGAATGGATCATGATTAATATGGTAAAAATCGAAAAAATCGCAAAAAAGGGGTTAAAAACAATACTTTTTAGGGATTTTTTTTGGGGCATTTAAATTGGGTATAGGACCTTTATTATTGGCTCAACAAAACTTCATGTTATGTAGAATCATCACACCAAATTTCATCAAAATCGGTTCGATAGATTTTGCAATCCAGTTTTTGAAAATTTGCAAATTTTCAAAATTTTGCACAGCAAAAACCAAGGCCTTTAGATACTTGAAAATTTAATCACATATAGAAGGGCTCTCAAGCTTTGAAACTTTTTTTGAAAAATTCGAATCCGTCAATTAGGAGAGCTCTGGCGCTTGTTTAAACATTGGTCGAATTTTTGTACTTATAAACAATTAGAATAACTTTGTCAATATTCAATCAAATCAAATTTTTTAAAGCAGGTTTTAAAAGTTCTTGGAGACGCTTTAAAAAAAAAAAACAGATCGATTGATCAATTAGTTACGTAGTTATAACCGATCAAAGTTAACCGTCATTTACACTTAAATGTACTGGGACATCCGGGCTAATTTTTCGAAAAATACCTTTGGTATTCCGAGTACTTACCAGGTCTAAGATTACAACACTTTTCTTCATTGGCAACCTACTTTAAAACATGTTTAAAGTTATTTATGCAAGCGAGAAATTCAAGAAAATTGATAAACAGTACATAAGTTTATGCACTTACCTTTGAAACAATAGAAAAATAAAGTTGATAAGTAAAAGAAGTTTAAAGATAAATAATTATCGGACTGTTGAAAGACTAATAATTATTAACGATGGGCATTTCAAAATACGCTAAAATTTTTAAAAAAATCATCAAAATCGGACCTCTAGAAGGCGAGATATAAAAATTTTTAAGCGCATCGCAGGGAACTCGCCGATTCAATTTCGAGCAGACCAAATTGTTTCTTTTTATGTAAAATACCCTATACAGTAAATGTATGTAGTAGACATTCTAGTTTGTCAAATTTGAAAATTGTAATTTGATTACAGGTACCTGGAGACCTGGGACCTGTTTTTTGTAAGTACTCTTCAACTTTTCACTGTTCTGGCTATTTTGTTTTCTAAATTAATATTTAAAAAACAGTTGCTGCACAGTCAAAATGAATAGCTGAAGCTTCTTAAAACACATTAACATTTATGTAAAGTACATTTTTTTATAAAACAGAATTATTCCTCGTTTTTCTACATTTGTAATGAAAAGTACATTCAGAAAATAGGCCACTGCTATTTATCTGTTAACAATTGGTGTGAAAAAATGGAAGTGACATTAGTTCTATATTGTACTCCAGGCTCAAAATAGTGGGCAGCGACTCATTAGATCGCGCGACGGGTAAAGCTTGCGGTGAATGCGATTCCATGGGCATATCATTTTAAAGGGTTCCAGAAACGATTAAATATGGAACATCAAATAGATATTATGTCGATTCTGGTAAATATAAGATTATACTTACAAATTTACTCACCTTGTTACATCTACGACAGTTTATTTAAAAATGGCTTAAATTTATATTGTGCCCTCCAAATATTTAGTTGTTGAACTGATACTTGTCAAGGAAGGTATATCGTCTGTAAAAAAATACAGGTTCTTTTCTCTGATCGTATATTCTGATTCTGCAGGTCCATTTACTTGTGTCAATATTTCGTCCCATTCAAATAATTTAACAGTAAAGAAATTACCAATAGATAATTAGGATTCACCATGCAAAAATAATTTTTTGAAGAGAAACTATAATCTTTTTGTCCCACGTATGCAGCAACCACTTCCGGAACGTATGCTCGAATACCCTCGAAATAAGATACAGACGTAGATAGAAATCGCTTTAATCAAAATCAACTGTTCTTATAATTGTCTAATGAAAATTTATTTCACATTCAATTAACCATACAGTTTAGATTACATAAATATAAAATCAAGGACAGTGTTTCATGTCGAAAGAATAATGAAATAAAAATATATTACTACAATTCTATAAAAATACAAACAATGAATGGTATAGCTACAGGTATTTCAAGATCCATTATCGAAACGTCTAACCGGTGCAATTATAACCGTATATAGAAACAATTTTTTTCAAAAAATATTATATATATATATATTCCGAAACTCCGATCTGCATGAACGTGAAGGGGGGAGGGGGAGGTGAGAGTGTCTGATAACGTGTGAGCTAGAATGTTTATTCAGTTCAATCCGCTCGAACATGGAATTTTTAAAAAATAAAGGGATAAAATAAATGAAACATTCAGATAGATGGAGAGATTCAGGTACATACGCGAATATGTACTCCCTACACTATCGTTTTCCTTTTTATAATTTAAAATTTACTTGTCTGTAGGTAATAAAAATGCATATTGTACAATAATTACCGTTAAAGGAGAAATATACAAAAGAATGACGCCTAACCTATGTTATATTATTAACAGTAATTATCTTGCAATCGCATCGCGCCGCTCATAACCTAACCTCAAAGTAGACTCTAGTACAATAAATCACAAATCATTTAAAAATAACTATTTTGTTTTTCAGTAATATTACAAATAAATTTCTTAAATTGTTTAACCTACAGTATGTAATAAGAAATCAAACATATAAAAATGTATTTACTCGGCGGGTTTCTTGGCTTCCGTTGCAGGGCTCGCTGCTGATTCTGACGCGTTTTCCGCGCTGCTTTTACTTTCCTCTTCCTCTTTTTTCTCGTCCTCTGAGGCGGGAGCGTCTACGCTATCATCCTCTCTTGCCCCGTTCTCTGTCGCTTCCGGAGACTCCTAAAATATTACGACCATTTTAATGGCGATTCAAGATATGCAGATCTTTTTACCTCGAAAAATATGAATTTTTGGAAAACTCTTAGAAAGTATTTTTTTATATTGGACAGGGATGTAAAATTAATGAAGTTCTCTATAGGGTGTTCCAGAAAAAATGGTTAAACAGCAACTACAGATTTATTTATATTTGTCTAAAAATGCTTTTTCAAGTTTCAAGGTGTTAAAGTGTTACTTTTGAATTGGTGAAACATGAAACTATTGCTGATGTAATAACATTAGTGGGGAACAACCAAAAAGGGAATAAATAAATAATATTCAATCAACATACTTTACAGGCAAAGACAAAAAATGTAAGAATTTAAAGATACAGACATGTCTACAAAATAGTAATTATAGTTTCCATATTTATGTATTTTTTAAAAGATTATATGTAAATTTTCTTGTAGTTGATTTGCAGAAAAACTATATTAATTTCTATTTAATACTCGTAAATCCCTTTACTCCTTTACTATTATGATATTTGAATGTCATAAAATGTAGACAATCAATAATTTAAGATGTCCAAAAAATCTAATATTAAAAAAAATCTGTCTGTTGTATTTTTTACAGAAAATGATATTTAATCATATTAGGAACAAACTTTTTGATAATCATTAATTTGTTCAATTCTCCATTCCAATGGAAATTAATTTCATCAGTACTTACTTTAATAACTTAGTTTTGATCCAGACAGCATTTTTAATTACAATTCCTTTAATATACAGGGTGGTTGTAAATAAGTGCAAAATATTTTAGAGGGTGGTTGCCGAAGTTATTTTGTGAAAAAAATTTCATATAAACATAGGTCGAAATATGCTTCGTTTCCAAAATACACTGTTATTATTATTATTAATGAAATTGGTCTCTACAATGTTTTCGAAGGATGCACCATTTTTCAGGAAAAAAATAAAACATATTACATTGCAAGTTGTGTATTTATAATAAAATACAACCATCAAATTTTGCAACAAAGCATATTTCGACTTACGTTTATATACATTTTTTTTCACACGATAATTTCGGCAACCCCCTCCTAAAATATTTCGCACTCATTTACAAACACCCTGTATAATATGTCATATTTTTTTATATTTTATAAGCTTAATGATCGACAAAGTAAAATTTTGTATGTATAAGACAGGCATAGCTTAATGAATTTGAAAACTGTTACCTGAAAGATGGAATCGGCGACATCAAATATGAATTTTTAAATTTTAAATTGATGTTCAATTGTTTTTTCCTACTGCTTATTCTGATTTTGCAGGACTCGACCTAAAGCCGGCTACTCACTACTTGGTACTTGGCAAGTAGCACGTAGTGTATATGGTGAAACTAGCGAGTTACTTTTACTTCCCGTTGTGTGTCGGTAAACTGCCAGTCAAAGGAAGGGAGTAGCTTGACTTGGCGATTTGTTAGAACGCGCTACATTATGCAGACATATCTATACCTACTTTAAAGGATTTCACAAGCCAATTGTTGCTCATGTTTTGTTTAAACATATTTCTTATTACTGTAAATGATGGAGTAGACTAATAAGTCGATAATTTAGTTTTTGGATTTATATCAGCGGGAACCTATCATTTGGGACACAGCACATAAATTACCTAACAGAAACAAAGCGCACGACGCTTGAAACGAATATAAAGTGATTTTTCACCAGAGGTTAGTTAGCCACAACATATTGTTATAATCCCGAAAAATTGAAAGTCAACTAAATTGGGCACGTAATGTGTACAGTTTACTTTAACTTGAATAAGTACTTGTCAAACTATTCCAAGTCAAGTCACTCAGCAAGTACCGTGCAGTGAGTAGCTGGTTCATACAAACATAGTTACTAAAATCTTTAATTTTCAGATATAGTCAATTAACTTCAATTTTTTTCATAACGGCAAATTGAATCTTCTTTTTTCTACTCAAAATGTGGTAATTTTAAGAAAACTTGACATGAGTTTTGTAGGAATTTAAATCAGATATTCTGATATTATTGTAAAATCATTTTAATGATAAGATTAACACTCTGAAACTTTTAAACGAAGCATTTTTTGACTAATAAAGTCAACTAATTCCAAGGACATTTAAATTAACACGTTGACTGTGAGATAATCTCAATGTACTTTGTCCGTGACTGCGATACATATCTTCGGAGATATGTAACAAAATTTCTGTGTGCGGTACATATCCTTAGGGATATGTAATTTTTTTTACATTTGACCCTATAAAATTAAAAATAACACAATTATTGCTATAAACTTGCATGTATCTGTAACTATATATCCTAGGATACTAACGTTTTCATTGGCAAAGAGTTTTGAAAAGAAAATAATAGAAAAATCATTATTTCTAAAAACTACAGATTCTGCAACTTCCACAAGATACAGTAAAAATGTGATATTGAGATTCGCATATTTTTTATAATAAGTACATACCCCCCGAGGTATGTACCGCAGTCAACGTGTTAAATGTCCTTGACTAATTCAATTTATCTAGGAATCTGTGATTACTCTATGACCACTGTTTTCTCGGACACCCTGTATAAGAAGAAACTGTAATAAACAACAGCATAGCAAGAAAAATATTTACTTATTCATGGATTTAAGTGTTGTTTATCATTTTTCTAGCAAGGGAACCACACTGATTTGTTATGTAAACAGCAAATCAGCTCAAGAGCTTGCACACTGCAATATTATTGAGGAAAATATCCCCTATTTAAGAAAAGGATTTAGCAAAAATCCTGAAAAATTACTGCTCTTTATTTCTTAATATTACTCTTATAAGACCATAAGTAACAGGGTGTTTTAAATTCTCCTGCCAAACTTCTGCAGGGTGTTCCTGGGATAATATTAACAAAGAAAGTTCAAATGAACTAATGATCATTTTTGACTTCTTTCAAAGATGTAGCAGCTAAATTTGGTACACGTTTCATTATCAGAGACTCAATTATTCAGTCACAACAAATAAGTTGTGTGGAAACCACTTTTTCATAACTATCTGATACAGAAAACGTAAAAAATTTTTTGTCTCCTGAAAAACGTAAATTCACCATAAAAATTGTCTTTATCGTTTCATTATAAAAATATGAAGACTAATTTTGATCAGTTACCACTGGTTGATGAATGTTTATCTGTATGTGAAGGTCAACATCAAGCTTTTTGATGTTATCCTTGGTAATAATTGTTACGTATGATGCCTAATATAGTTTTTAATTTGTCAAACAAAATTATTTCAGTTACTGTCATTCTTTCATGTAACAGGATGAAAACAACTAAGAAAAACTGACATTTTATTTAACAATATATAGTCCGTACGATATTTGTCGAGATATAATTTAAATAAAACATTTTTCTTTGCTACATTATTTTTAACTTGAGCTCGTATCATTTCAATCGGATAAACGGTGTAAACGCCTCGACGCCAATGTCTTTCTACCTCGGGTGTCAAATGTGGTTAATTCCAAGAAAATGAAGCAGGGGTCTTCTTGGAATTCTATCTCAACAAAGATCGTATGGACTCTATGTAAATATATGTTATCAATAGTGACAAAGTTGTATAAATTTAGTTGTCGAATTAAAGGACACCGTTACAATTAAATATTTGGAAAAGTGGTTAAATGCTCTTTAGGTGGAAAAAAATATTGCCCAAATTCAAAATATAAATAATTTTTATCTGAAATAGATTTAGTTTAAATTAAATAAAGTAAGAGTAGTTTGTTTGTCATCTATAAAAGCCATGTCAAATTTTGGCTTGTATATAAAAATATTCTTTCAATAACAATACGATTATACTTCGTGATACCTCTAAAAACACATATATTAATAACCTAACTGATTGATTTTCAACTTATACTGATAATGAAATTATTTAGATAACCAGTACTAACATATTTTGTACCTATTACATAACGTTTAAGAAAGAGATAAGGGAAATAAACAGATAATTCTAATTTTGTGCCAATATTTATCAATTCCTCTATGAAATAACTAAGTATTATATATATGTAACATATATATGTTCTGTGTATACAAGGATTTTATGATGTAATTAGATTTTGTAAAAAATTAAGATGAAACATTTCGTACTTACTTTAGATGATTCGGCATTATTATTTGCCGATTCCTCTTTATCGTCATGTGAATTTTCTGTAGTTTCTGCGTCACTCTTTGCTTCATCATTGATTTTAGCTTCCTCCTCACTTTCAGTTATGGAGGTTTCTGATTTCTGAGAATCACTACTCTCCTCGGTAGATTTTTTTGGTCGTCCACGAGCTACAAACGTATAAATTAATTCAATGTAATGATTAAAAATTGATAATGTTACTTTTGCCAGAGCTCGAACTTTTTCTTTCTTTTTTGGCTGGCGGCGGCGGTGTTGCTGGAACCCCCTTAGCTGCTGATCGAGTCCGGCGCCTACCTTCAACTTCTGGACCTAAACCCTAAAGAAAATGACCATTAACACATATTATGGATATAGTACTCATGCAGACCTTTGTGATAGCTTCGCTTTCTTCTCTTGCTCTTTCAATGGTGGAAAGCCTGGGCGATTTAGATTTTTTACCTTTAGCTGCTTTATCGTTCTGAAAACAAAAACAGTTAATTATTATTCAATGCCTATAATTACATTTAAGAACACAGAAAATTAATTTTATAGGATATAAAACATACTTTATACTTTGGACATGTTACACTTCGACTGTATTTCTAGTTGCTACACGAATGATTCTAATTCTACAGTTATTTATTAATTCCATATACAAATTGACAGCAAACAGTTACAAACACGGAATTATAATTTTCAACGGAACTTGAATTTTCCCTCCAAAAATATAAACACACGATGGTCTACTCTGCGACGTGACGCACAATTGAAAGTCATTTGAAAAAGAGGGATACCGCGCGAAACGTATGTGCTTTCCTTGGTACAGAAATGACGGCGTACATAGTTAAAATTGCATTTTTACTAGCATTTCACGTAATATTGTAGATAAAAATAGAAAAAATATTGTACTAGTAACTCAAGTTTATTATTTATGACATCAAAATTCTATAAAATCCTTAACAAATACGGAAACTTCCAAAATTTATTATCACAAACTTCAAAGATCTCAGACTGTGACTAAATTATTCTTAAAATCAAATTCAAACTTAAACACGAGGGGTTTAACCTTAAACAGTCACATTCTAATATCACTCACTATTACGTGCACACTTCATAGATTGTTTCAGGAAATAACTAAAAAAATAAAATTTGTAGGACACTTACTTGACTGTTTTCTTCATTTACAGCATTATTAGTATTTACTGAATCAACCTCAGACATTTTTACTTCTTAATTTCACAATTTACTAACATAAAACGCAAACGATACACACGAACCGTCCCGGTCGTTGTTTATACAGAGAAATGGCGGCGAGCGTGGGTCACGTGATAAAATTCAGTTCGACAGGTATATTGGCGCGAAATTTGAATGTTTCAGTTCATTGCACGGGAAGAAAAGGTTTTCATTAGGGTTTACAATAAAACTGCGATTGGTACAAATTATTATTTATTTCACTGCCGTTATTTTTTCAGGCAATAATAGTTTATATATGCATATTTTATAAAACAAATATTTATTTTATCTCAATTACATTAATCTCTTCTTTGTTTTAGTTTCTTTTATCAATAAAATGAAATGTTCAAATTTATATTACCAGATTTTGATATTTTATAGTCTGGCTAAGTAAAAAATAAAAAATATATATAGTTGGCTTGAGATTTGATAAAAATAATTAATATTCTATTAAAACATTACAATATTGCATAGATATATAAATTATTCAGTTTTTTGATACAATATCATGTAATGCACAGAATAAACCTGAAATGTTTTTTAAATTCCCATATTTTTTTCTAATATCTTCTTCTTTTTGCAATAGTGCTCCATTCGGTTGAAAATCTAAAATATAACAAATATTTTTAAAATTATATATTAATATTCTACTAACAGCAGAAATAAATTTTATGGTTTTAACCTTACTGGTTTTTTTAATAAGAACTTACCTATAATTTTTCGTTCTATTCTATCAGTTGTAAACTTAATCGGTATACTGTCATCTTTTTCATTAAAGTACAAAGACGCTTCGTAAGTCGTATCTGATAGAGTTTTAGTTGATATATTTATATTAAAATAAGTGGTATACATTTCACTTGCCTTTTGCAAGGCTAACTTTAATTGCTTATAATCTTTGCGTGATGTAGTTTCTTCTAAAAATTTTTGTTTAAAATCATTTAATTGTGACAAGCTTTCAATAATATTCTACACATTAATAGGTGCCTACCTTCTTCTAAGTTATTTATAGTCTTTTGAAGAGAATCATTTTTTGCTGTTAATTTTGCCATATTATCTTTAATTTTTTTACTTTCTTCTAATAAACTATTGTATTTAAAGTAATAATCTTTATGTGTCTCTAATAGTTTATCAACCAATCCTACTTTATCTTTCATTTCATTTATCAAGAGTTTACCTATGGGAAAAAATAATTCAATATATTTCATAAAGAACCCTTATATCCGATTACCAATATCTGCAGAACTATCAGGAGAAGTTTCATCCAATAAATGATTATAGGCTTTTAAATCTTCCTTCAGGATATTTTCCCTCGTATTTAATTCATTTTCGAAAGAAAAAGTATCCCAATCTGCTGAATAATCCAATGAACCATCATTGTTTTTGTACTGTATGAAATTACTGCTACTTCGAGAGGTACTGAATACTAAAAGATGAACTTTTATTATCTGTATAAAATATAATATCACATATACCTACAGTCCATTTAAACAATATAGAAAACTGCAGTTTTATAGCTACAATAGTAACGATTTTGTGATTTTAAAATCCCAAACATAACCTTAAAATTACAAATTTGAAGTATTTAAACAAACATGGCAAACATGAAATCACTAGAACCTTAGACGATTTACAAATCAGAAAATGCAATGGGAAAAATAAATAATTTTCATCTCCAATATTAAATAAAAAAACATAAGTAAGAAGTAAAAGGTTTTACAGTAAGATAAGGAAAATAATATGGTTTTCTTCATGTATTTTTTCATCCCTGGCTAATGGCTATTGCTAAATCAAATTCCCAAGTACTTCGCCTTTATTGAATGAATTCTGCAAACGAAGTGTACACATGAAATTTTGAAAAGAATGATTTATGCAGGAGTTAAGGTGCAGTAACCTACACCTAAATAGGTACACCGAATAGGTATTCATACTTTCATCAATTACGTTTAAATCTGTTCAATTTGGTAAACAAAACTTGCTGACAAGCTAAAGAGAGTTGGAAGAAGCATGGGTGCCGCCACGACTTAAGTGGACGATTATTGAACATGAACACAAATTTTTGAGGACAATGTGACAATTTTTACAATTATTTAATTAATCGAAAAAGAGAGAGCACTTAAATGAAAACTCTGAGCCATCTCCCAGAGCATAATTTTAAAATACTTGAATGTATTGTATGTTGCCTATACAACATTTGCCCGAAAATATATAAATTTTCTTACGATTATTATTATTTTGTAACTTCTAGATAAACGGTTGTACTTTCGTACCTTCGTCCCTACCTAATTGTAGGTACATACATAGGTATAACCAGGTTTCTAAAGAAGGTTTCTGCAGATAAAAACTTTGCTGTATGCCCTTTGCCCAAGTCTATTGTGGCTGCACTTTTTATAAAAATACAGTTGCTTATCCTAAACTAATGCATATTTTTTTATGTAAAAATCAATGTGAGTTAAGGCAGTAATATTTTAAATTTTTATTTAACATAGGTAGGTACTTATATAGTTTGGTCAGTGCTATTTTAAATAGAGATTTGCTTGCTCCTATAAAAATGATCCTTTTGTCAACTTTCTTTAGATCTACCTACTGTATTCGCTTTTTATTGCTTAACTCCAATAAATTTGAAATGCGTCAAATAAATCTTAAAAAAACAAGGCTTTTAAAATGATTACTCATAAAAAACATTTAAATTCTGATAACTTTTTCTGTAAAGACAATAGATACTTTAAAAGCAATGAGTACCTAGATATTTATCTATACAGTTATAATATAAGACTACATGAATGTAAGGTAAATCTATTAGTTATAATTATCTTTATATTGTTGCAAAAAAAATGTTGTAGGGTTGGAAAACAGCCCCTGTATTCAAATCTACCGCGGTGTTCTATTGATTGGTCCAACAATTTTCTCTTTCTCTCGCACTAACAACAACAAAACAGTTGATGTCGAGATGGCGTCGGGTGTGCATGTACTTTGACGTTTCAGATAAACAAAACGCTGATAAATATAAAAAAGTCGCGGCAAGGTTTATGTTTCGGTGAAAATTTATTTAACAAAATTATTAAGTTAATACTTATATAAATCGAAAAATAACATCAATCTGGGTAAGTTGGTCAAATTTTCTTTAACTATTTAATACAGAAACAGCGACTGCAGCAACTAAATAAAATAAGCTTCTTGATACCTACTTTGGTATTTTAACTTAATGTATTTTTCTTTATTGTTGCCTTAAATTACTTATTTAAGAAATAAATCTCTAAATGATACCCACATTGTGATCTTCACTGTATATACAAATTATTGCCTGTGGTCCTAGTATTTCGTTGGTGTTGGTGGCATAAATTTTGTATTCAATAAGATAATTGGCTTAAAAAAAGTAAAGTCAAAGGTCATGTTATATATTACAGTTTTATGAGTTTTGAACGGTGGAACTTTGAATTATACTGGTAAATAATTTTATGTATTTAAAATTATATATTTTTTATTATTATTAAAACATAACGTTATGGTTTTGTATGTTTTTTAATAATATATAGGTATAACATACATTTTCTTGAAAAGTAGCGAGAATTATGTCTTTTCATGTAGATATTTAAGCAGTTTATGAGAAAGACAAATTTATATTTTTTTCTCTTTAGTACCTAGTAGTAATTTATTTATTCTATTAACGGATTAAATTTTTGCTTCTATGTGTTTGTAGTGTATCTAAATGCATAAGAAAAGTGCAAAATAGAAATATTGGGTAGGCTTCTTACAATTAGTTTAAATAAATACCTAAAAAAAAAGTCATACAAGTCACGTTTCTGATATATTTTATCAGTATACCATTATATACATGATGTTTGTAGATTTTGTATACTGAGTAGAAAAGCAGAAGCAATGTGGTAGAAGAAAACATTTTTATCGCATGATATATTTAACAATTTTTGGATTTCTTTTGGATTTTAGGTATCCCTGTTACATTCAATTTGGTATTTGGTACTAACAAAATAGATTGTAACGAATATGTAGCATACATATGGTTGCCAAAACATCGTTAAATTGCTTGTTCTCATCAAATAAAATTGTATTCAACATCAATTTAGAGAAATTATTTTGTTTAGCCTTGAAAATTATTTAGATTTTACTAATTTCAAATATTGTTCATATTTTGCAATGAAGAAAATTCCTAGAACTAAGTCTGCTGAACTAATAATGGTAATTACTTTTTCGTATGCTAAACAATAAATTATATATATATATATATTATGAGAATGAGAATATGTGACTCAAGTTATAGGTAGGCTATGTGTAGGATATTCCAATAAGATTTATATCTATGCGTTTCTTACGAATCGTCAAAGTCGTATAATTTGTGAATACCATGTATGAATATCCAGATGTAGGGAAAGACATGACAAAGTGAAATGAGGGGCAAAGTGATTTTTAAATAGCGCTCCTTATGAAACAAGGCAGTACCTACTATAGTAGGTATCGCCCAAATGAGTTTTGGCCTGAATTTTGTGTTTCAAAAATTATTACTTCACAATTTTTAAAGTAAGCTTGACCAAACAGATGCGAGATGAAAATGAAATGACAACAAAGATAGCAGTCTTAATAATAGGGCAAGTACCTTCTGTGCAAAAGTTTTACCATTGTTTATGGTTTTACTTATAGTTTGTAGGTCTGATAAATATAGTTATTTAATTTTTTTACGCTTAAATATACGAGTAATTGCCACTGCGCATATGAAACTTGGGGACAAGATGACTTTGGACAAACTTGTATGATTAATTATAGAAAAAAACACATTTTATGATACAACTACCTATGTGATTTTTCGCAATTCTGATGCAGTTGTGCAGGCGAGGTTGAAATTAATATTAAAATTTTCCCACTTTTTGTAAAATGAAATTTAATGTTTTAAAAAAAAACTAAAAATCTAATTTTTGTAATTTAATTATGTCCTTATTAAATTTAAAGGTAAAATGAAACAAGATACAACAAAAAACAAATATGTACGGCCATAAATTACAAGCATTTTAAAAAATAGAATTTCATATTTCAATCAGCTACCATTTGTCAAAGTTTATCATATAATTTGTAGAACACCCTGTATATCATCGTGAGCAAAATTTTTTCACAAAAAATGAAAAAATTACCTGACTAACCTATATTAATTGATTATGAAAAAGCATATTTTGCAAATGTGCAACTCTCTTCGAGCTATCAGGGTCGGCCAACCCTATATTTTAATTTTTATAAAAATGACACTTTAATTTTAAAAATACCTGTCCATTATTTTGAAGGAAGGGATATTCATTGGTAAAAATAAATTTCATTTTACTTTATTCCCCGTTTCTCTAAAAAATTTTTTCTTATATTTATTTATTGAAGCAATTATTCTTAGACAAGTTATACATTTTTCGTTGTAGATTCGATTAATCTTTTTTGGGAAAATGAAATACGTTATCAACGAGGTTATCAAATAATAGCTCTTATTAGAGTAATACACTATTTGACATCAAGCACTGTAAAAACATTAACAATCAATACTGACAATTTATGTAAGTTAATTTTCCGAAGTAAAATGTGTATATTATTTTTAAATAAAAAAGGTAACTGAAACCGAAAATTATATACAGGATGTTTCTAAACTATGGTGCCAAATGAATATGACAGATAGAAAATGTCATTTTGAGCAAAAAGTTTCATGTAAACATAGGTCCAAAAATGCATAATAAAAAAGTTACAGGGTGATAAAGGTACAGTTTGAGAAACAATTTTTCGCAATAACTTCTACAAAAGTTAGGCAATTTAAATGAATCTTGGTGCAGTTTCTTAGACACTAAAATGCAACAATTTCGTGCAAAAACAATTTATTCCCATCGCCCAGGAGCGGAGAGCCGGGGTAGCACATAGGATTTTATTATGAAAAAAAAATTGTCCTTTGCATTTTCGGAAAATTGATCAAATTTTCTGAAAAATAAACTAATATGTCACAAAAAAGGTACTCTTGTTCAATGTCGCCAACATGAACCGTTCTCTTTAAAATTTGCAAAATTTATTGTCGTGCACCCGACAACAAGAATGCTGTAATCAAGAAGGCTATGCTTTATGTGGTAACTGGGTATGGATTTGGTTTGTAAATTTGTTATAACAAATAACATTTATTTTTAAATTACAACATAACAAAACTACTTACTACAAAAAAAAATTATTTAAGCATATGTTGAAAGTGATCACCGTTAGCTCTAATACATGCTCTAACTCTTTTTAAGAAATGAAAGGGGAGCTTATTCAAAACTTCTTCATTCGTCTTTATTTCATTGAAAGTGTCCGTTATTCTTTGCCTTAAATGATCCTCGTCTTCTATTGGAATTTCATACACTTTAGATTTTGCGTATCCCCAAACAAAAAAATCTAAAGGAGTTAGATCTGGGCTTCTTGGTGGCCATGGCTGAGGAGCATCCCATCCACGACCAATCCATCTATTTGCAAAAATATTATTTAAATGTCGCCTTACTTGTCGAGAGTAGTGAGGAGGGGCCCCGTCTTGCATTAGCCACATATTTCTTCTGGTTTCCAAATCAAGGTCTTCCAAAACTTCAACAAAGTCGTTGTTCAAAAAATGTAAGTAATTTTCCCCATTCACATTTAGAGGAAGTTCAATTGGACCCAAAAGTTTATTGCCAATTATTCCCGCCCATAAATTGATTTTAATTTTGTATTGTGAATGTCGCACAACTGTTGCATTTGGATTTTCATCATTCCAGTGATGACTATTTCTTAAATTGAAAATGCCATTTTTTGTGAAACAACACTCATCAGTAAACAAAATACGTTTGGCGAACATCGCATCAACACGAACCTTTTCTGACATCCAGTTGCAAAATTGTAGTCGTTTTGGCAAATCTTCAGCAAGCAATTCTTGTACTTTAGTCATATGATATGGATGCAGTTGTTGTTCCCTAGCAATCCTCCATACCAAGGAATGTGGCATATTTTCGGCGAAAGCAATTCTTCTGGTGCTTAAAGTATCATCTTCTTCAAAACGTTGGAGAACACGCTCTTCAGCCCCTGGAGTTCGGATCGTTCTGGGACGGCCAGTGTCATAATGACTTTTTTTAAAAGTACCTGTTTCTCTAAGGCGCCGGTCGATGGACATAAACAATTTTCGAGAAGGTATTCTCCTATTTGGATAGGTTTGTTCATATAATCTACTTGCCATTCTTGTATTACAGTCACATTTTCCGTAAATTAAATGCATATCTGCAAGTTCTCCAAAGGTGTATTGTTCTGCCATAACAACTTTTAATGAGTAACGCCAGCTAAATTTTATGCTATCAAAACTTACAATTAACTTTTGACAGGAAAACTGAAAGGTTATTTTAAATTTCATGGCTACTATGATGACGAACTTCCATTGCTACCTCTATCTTGTCGGGTGCACGACAATAAATTTTGCAAATTTTAAAGAGAACGGTTCATATTGGCGACATTGAACAAGAGTACCTTTTTTGTGACATATTAGTTTATTTTTCAGAAAATTTGATCAATTTTCCGAAAATGCAAAGGACAATTTTTTTTTCATAATAAAATCCTATGTGCTACCCCGGCTCTCCGCTCCTGGGCGATGGGAATAAATTGTTTTTGCACGAAATTGTTGCATTTTAGTGTCTAAGAAACTGCACCAAGATTCATTTAAATTGCCTAACTTTTGTAGAAGTTATTGCGAAAAATTGTTTCTCAAACTGTACCTTTATCACCCTGTAACTTTTTTATTATGCATTTTCGGACCTATGTTTACATGGAACTTTTTGCTCAAAATGACATTTTCTATGTGTCACATTCATTTGGCACCATAGTTTAGAAACACCCTGTATATTTTCAAATTGACGGTGATCCCAAGCAATACATAACTATAGGTGTATTTTTTATATTACAATATTAAGTTTGACAATGAATTATTGCATATGATATGCTTCCGTCCGTCACGCTTTATACAATCTAACTGCGACTAAAATTGTTTTTAAATAAAGTGCTTCCTCATCCTCATATACCTACATTAGTTTTTGTATATACTTTTTTTAAACTAGAAATTTAAATGTTTAATCTCATTTGT